TATTCATCGACAAGTTCATTTTACTGCCAGTCTATTTCACCGAAGCTTATTTCACCGACAAGTTTTTTTTTTATAAATTACACTAACTTTAACTCTAGTTCTAACCTAACTCTAATGATATTGATCAGAATTACTTTGTCTGTAAAATGAGCTTCAGTGAAATAAACTGTCGGTGAAATGAATTTGTCGGTAAGTAATTGTCAGTGAAGTGTGGTGTCTATGAAATGATTGTCGGTGAGTTGATGGGATCCCCATCCAAATGCCTTCTTTTCATCTTTAATAGTGCCTATACCATATCCACAGCAGATTCCAAGATTATTGCCAGTAGAATTACTATTTTCAACAGGTTACCAATACATTTGAATTCCTTCTTTCATCCTTCCACAGGCCGAATGAAGACAAATTGGCATTATGTAATCCTGAACCTGATTTGAAACAAATATTTGGCATAAATAGGAGACTTTTAGGATATAAACCGGCGTTCAATATATGGGGAGAAAAAAAAAAAAGACAAATCATTTTAGTAATATTTTAAAATATCTCAACAACTATTTACTAAAAAAATCTTTTTATTTTAGTCTTGAAATTATATAGAATTAAATAAAAGAAAAATTATTAAATTTGATAAGATAATTGCTAAGATATTTAAGCTTAAAGTCAAGAAAACTTTACTTAGAAAAAATTTGTCCCTTTTCTATTGACTCACCCATATATCAGAATGTCGATAGCTCAATAGGTAAATCGATAAACAAGCTTATCGATTTACCTGTAAAGCTCGCCTATATGAACCTGATTTGTATCTTTAAAGTCTCCTATTTTACGCTAAATATCTGTTTAAAATCAGGTTCATATCGGGTTACATAATGCCGATTGGTGCTCGATTTGCCTTCATTCGACCTGTGTTCGCAGTGACTATTCTGTAGATTCCAAGATCACGTTGCCCCCTTCATGAGCTATGCTTCCACTACCACTCTTCCATTTTGACTAGTTTCGTCTTCTTATCCTTTCCTTTCTATTAAATCTTTCTTTGTTCCAAGTACTTGTATACGTTTTAACGTGTTTCTGGACAAACAGCCCAAACCACTCATCAACCTTGTAGCGAAGCTTATTCCTATTCATCTCCCAAACCACTATTTGCAGGTAATGCAATCGGCAGTAACCTCTGTACGTCACTATCGTTCATTTGTAGATCACGCGATGTTTACGACGAAACTAGACTTGCGTCGAAAGAAAAGGGGGAAAACTAATTTCCATTACTTCACCCTTAAATAGCCATTTACAATGACCTTATATATACTTATATCACTCGCTCTATCAAATTGATATTAATCAATCACTACATCATACTTACCAACCTCTCATTTGGCGGGCATGCTTCGCGACGGCATCTCAAAACTACTGTAAGCTTTGTCGGTGGAAATTTTGCGTCTACGAAAAGAGCGTAGGTGAAGTGAGCAGAATCGTAATTTAATATACTGTAGTATAAATACATTATTATACTAATTTTAAGAATATAAAATACAAAAACTAACTATAATTTAATCCCTATAACAAATCGAGACTACATTTTTAATGTTAATTTGGTTATTCTCCAAAATAAATGGCCAATCATATCTATAGTGATAGCTAAAGCCAAGATTTTTGTACGTACTATAAATTTTTATTTAAAAGTCAAAACTATAGTTGTTATAGTGAAACCTTTATTATTATTTACAAATTTTTTGATTTCTTTCTGTTACGCAATAATCGACATGCCACAAAATTGGACATGGATTATTTTAAAATAAGTATTCCAAACTGAAAAAAAAAATGAGTCAGAATAGAAAAGAACACAAACAATATTAAAAATTATCTCTTGTTCTGTCATACGAATCATTCGCTTCCCGCTAAATAATTTAAAAATAGTTAAACTGATTCAATGTATACGTTTACAATTTTTATTCAATACTTTTGACGTACGTAACTACAATGCCATGAAGAACTATCACGTGAATGGTGGATATGGTTAAGATCGTAACCTGTGATAAGTTAAGTAGGTCCTGAAAACCCGGTTGATATGGATTTTTTTTGATTACGTAAATACATTATGAGTAAATTTTCTGCTTGTTTGCTAAAAGAAAAAAACCATAGATGCCGACCTTGCCTGAATTTGGTTATTTTGCTTTGCGAGAATAACAAAGACTAAAATAGTTTAGTACGTTGATCGGGAGATCGGAAAACTAATTCCGATAAAGCCAATAAAATTATACGTATTCTCTAAGTTATAAAATTTTACTTATAATCCATCTTCACATGATATATCTATTTTTATTTATGATTAAGGGTCTTGCTGATAAAAATTTTTTCGTATGTGTAGTGTGTGTAGTATGTGATACAAAAATGCTAATCCTGCATTATTTTACTTGCACAACTGATGGGGAGAAATTCCGCAATATTGTATGCAATATTGTATGTTATACATTTTTTTTTAATAGCTATATATATGACACAAATAAACAGAACCTGAAATTTGTGTTTTGATAAAAAAATGATTATTAAGAAAAATTTTTTATAAATTTGTTTCAGTTATTTTTATAAACAATGTTTTATGCTTTTTTTTTTTTTATTGTATATATTTTATGCTTTTTTTTTTTGTTATTATATATACTTGTTATAATAAAACTTAGCGATAAGTACTATTAATATAACGATTCGTTCAGATTTGATTCAGAATTTCACAACTCCGTAAAAAAAGTACGTACGTACGCACTCATATATTCACGCGTAATTAGGCAATAAAGTACAAATAACAAAAAATCAACAAAGAATGTCAATTAGAGTTTGTAATAAGATATTTTTATCAGTTACGTAATTTGAGTAACCAAAAGTATATACGTGCATGAGTATGTACGTAAGGTTGCATGCATTAATTCTGCGATATGAGCGAATGTGTGCAATTCATGTGAAACTAGGAAATGACTAATTGCCTTCTTTGATAACAAAATTAATAAATTATTCCACATATAGGAATTAATAATGATTTAAAATACTCAATTAAGTCAAAATCATTACGTTGTGCATACCGATACGTAAGTAATATAAAAATTTTTATTGTATAATAAAGACTGTCTTCAAAATATCTGACGATTATTTGAATCACGCTTTAAAGATTATACATGTTAATTACACTATATTATTATTATGATAAAAAATTATTAGCAAAAAAGGAGAGTTTATTTTCTGCATGTGGTTAAAAATATCAGAATTTCTAAAATTACAATCCACTAGTATTTTTCAAGGGGGGTGTAATTTATCAATCAAAACAATATCTTTTCCTCTAAAGTAAAGTTCTTTATATTTTCAAATAAATAGATCTTCTATGTGGAACAAACTTACTCCTTTAAATGTTTAAAAAAAAGATTCTTTTTTTATCTCTGAATTGCTATTGTAATGATCGTGTAATCAATTCTTACAGATGGAAGTTTGGTTGCTTAAATTTAGAAAGAATTACTGCCATCATGCATTAGATATTTAAAATTGGAACTTGTGAAATCAATTCAGTGATTTTCTTTGTCATTGTTTTACTTCGATAGGATAAATGGTTGTACGTGGCGACATTTTAAAGATATTTTAGGTCTAGTCGATTTTATAATATGAACGATAATCATCAGTTCTTTAGAAACAAATAGGAATTGTAGATATGCTAATTTTTTATCAGTCTGTTTCAAAAATATTGGTCGATAATATGCACATACGCATATACAGTATCATATATACTATATATGCACAATTACAACTTTAGCATTACTTCAGTACCGAGAAAATTTTGATTAATTGTTTTCGTTAATTGGTTACGTATAAATAATCTTCTTGATGACTAAATTTTTTCGTAATATTTTGATGACGGAAGAGTTTCATATATTAATTGTAACTTTGAAAAAAAATGGGGGGTTTTTTTTCTACTTATTAAATATATGTAATAGCGAACCCATTTTAGTGGTTGACAATATGTAAAAGATTCTAAATTCAACATCAAAAGTTCCAATTCACGTAACTTATGCTATGTATTATGTAAATTCCAGGTTATTGTTACATGTTCTTGTTGATTTTGTTTATTATGACATAATAATACGTATCATAAATAGAAAAACAAATGCACTTATTGTTTGTTAAATGAACTACAGAAGAATTCCAGATCTTTTAACAGTTTTCTCAGCATGGTTTTGATAATTTCTTGATTTAGGGGAAAGTAGAATTCTTTTATAAGATTCTTTTAGAAGTCAATAAAAAAAAAAAATAAAGATCCAATGTCTTTTACTTTGTTTAACATGTGGTTATGAGAGTGAGGTAATTAAAATTTCTATTTTTACCATTTATAAATGCAACATTACACATTTGCGAAAATATTTTCACGTAAGTTGTATGCTGAGATGGACATCTGATCACACCAAGACCTAATCACTTTAGCTGCACTAAGCATTATTACGTCATATATGCACGATCCACAAGGTGGATACACTTTTTTTTCCGTAAGAGTAACTATCCCGATGCGTAACGTTTCATAAATAAATTTTCTAGACATGGTTTTTTTTTCTTTTTTTTTTATAGCTTGAATTTATGTTATAGGCATTATTAAATTGTCAGGTCAATTGATGGATAATTTTGTAAATCACGTTCCGTTAATCATATTTTGAAATTAATTTATACGTACGTACATACATGTGTACTTTCACGCAGGTGTTATATAAGGTTAAGTAGTATTGGAGTTACACGAACTTTATTATAAAAAGGCTGTATATCATACCTCTATAAAATCACTTCAAAACTCCGTGAAGTTCGAAATTAAGCGAAGAGTAAAAACTCCGTAAAGTTCAAAATATAAGAAAAAAAAAAGTGCAAAGTAAAGCTCCGTGAAGTTTAAAATATAAAAAAAAGCGAAGAGTAAAATGTCAACTACAAATAAAAAATCAAGACGTGGGAGAAAGGCATACATAACGCCAGAAAAGACAGACACAACCGGCCAATGTCATTTTATGATTGTCAGGCGTGTTACAGATATTGCCAAGAATAAAAAGAAAAATAGTTGCCGAAATTGTGATATAAGTGACGAATATGTTAATATTCTTTCGGAAAGAATAAATAATATAGAAAATTTAATAAACGATATTGAAAAAAAAGTCAAAAGTCTTGAAAAAAGGCAATTAAACATAAACGACGTTAATGACATAGATTTTTCAAGAATGGACACTGACTCCTTGATTAAATTCACTGAGCGTTTTGTACCCTCCACGACTTGCGATCAAAACGATGCAATTATCAATCAAAACATTGCTCCACAATATTTCAACCCTGTGCCTTTTGATATAAGATCTTTTCAATATTATCAGGATTAGAAACAATTTTAAAAGCATAATTCATGTAATATTCATATAGATAAGCGATTAAGCATTATAACATATGTATTTAGTACAATCATTACGGCGCATTTGTAAAAATACTCTAAAATTGAACCATCTGACTACCGATAGTGAGTCAATTAAAAATTGACTATATATTCAATTAGTCCCCAAATTAAAGTATCGGTCACTAAATTCAATTCAAAACCAAACCCTCGAATTTTTTGCTCCCCAGATCTATAGCAATATAATGTCTAACCCATTTTCCTATTGTTCAATCCTATATCTTATTAATTTCCTTAATTTTACAAATGCACCGTAATGTTTACAATTTATGAATAAGAATATTTTGTAATATAGTATATATATATATATATAAATATAGATTTCATGTTTTTTTTTATTTTTTTATTTATACATTATATATAAAATATAAATTTATTATTCAAAAAAAAGAAAGAAAGAAAGTTTTTAAGAAAGTTTTGCAATATAGGCCGCGAAATTCGTTGAAATTCGTTGAAATTCGTTGAAATTCTTTGAAACAACTAGTTAATTAACTTAATTAACTTAATTAACAGCTAACAACAAAATATTTATTACATCATAATGAACTTTTTTTATTCTTATGTGATTAAATGATCAAATTATCAGCTATAATGTTTAATCCCATGATTTAGAGAAAAAAGATAGGCTACGAGCTTCCTTATGTCAATATCTACTCTACCTTACATGAGGATTAGTCATCAGGCGAGTTACACTATGCTATTATGTATATATATATATATATTTTAACCTACTAAATAAGTAAATAAGACAAAGATTTAATAATATTTTTTTTTATTTGTTAGTCAATTTTATGCATATGTCTGATAATTAATTCCATGTGTGTAGCAGGTTGTTTTGCTAAAAATCCGTGTTTAGAAACAGATAAGTATGAAACTTTGAACTAACAAACGTGTAAAAGAAGACTATTTTTCATATTATAACATTCCCTTACTTTGTTGAATTTCGATTGATGATTACTAAGACTTTTGAATTATAAATCCAAATATAGATTTCTGAAAACGATGATCATTAGTTGGTACTGTACTTCGGGATTTTTCCGTAGTTGCACAAACAATATAATAATTTCGAAATTAAATTGCATTATTGAGATCAGTGGGCATATTGGTTACCATAAAATCTAGTTATCTACAGTATAGTGACAAAATATTGTGCATCTATGTTTCCAAAGTATAATGTGGGTCTCTTGTTGCAAGCAGTTACATCATGCACTTAATCTCCGAACTGCCAATGCTTATTGCGTAACAAAAATAAATTGTGATTAATTAATATGCTTTTCTCGATCATTATTTTGCCTTTTCTTAATTCACATATTATGCTTTCTTAATTCATATATTATTAATTCACACATGCTTTCTTAATTCATATAACAAGCAATCCACAATACTGCAATAAAGTATATTCCTTAAGAACTCTATCAATTATTATTATCATTATTATTATTTATTATTAAAAATACATAGCGATAGTTGCAATTCGATGTTAATCCTTACCTTTTAAATTTTTTTTTAACACGGGTCCATATATTCTCTTTTGTTATGATGTGATCTTTGTGTACGTACGTACGTAAAAAATTTAAATATAGATGCATAGCTAATGGTTAATAATTGGCTATCACTTTAATTTATGAATGCGTTCATTCAATTTATCAAATATTGCAAATATTGATATATGCTTATCATGTCATCATTACTGTCATCATTAAAACAATTAATTAATTAATTAACACAGTGTTTGAAAATGTTATGTTTTCCAAATTTATTACTAATAAATGTTAATAATTATGGTAACATTCACTGGAAAATTAAGTTGTTAAATACGTTTCAAATTATGTGAATCTTTACCTAATTAAACTAAAGGGTATCCCGATGCTGTTTCACACATTTTTTGTATGTTGTGCAACAAAATTATAGCACATCATTTGTTTTCATTCTGAATTCAAACTCCGCTCATGAAGTGTGATTTACCTAAATTTGGTTTTATATAGAGATTGTGTAAAAACTGATGATTTTTACTGCGCAATAGATATCGTATGATTCTCGTAACAATGAGAACAATTTAACGAAATCACATTACCCATAATATTATGACTAATATGTGTTTCCTTTGATAATATCTTGCATATATTTTCGTAAGCAAGATTTAATTCTTTGTTGTTAATAAATTAATAAATAAATTGTAACATTGTAATGTTAAAAAATTTTCTTAAATCTTTCCATGTGCGAAATCGCAAAACTCAGCAACTGAAAAAAAAAACAAATAAAAACAAATTTTGAATCATATACTTAAAGAGATCATTTAATGGTTTACGGCGCTTTGGGCGTTTCATCTTTATTACTTTAACAAAAAAGAAGAAAATTATGTTATCTTAATTATTTTGGTTGGCACTTTTTCATGATCTAAGATCAATTCGATCATTTATGAAACAAATTAAAAATTATCTCTAAATATATTTTTATAAAGGTGATTTCCGAATCTAATGCGGTATCTACCGTAAGTTGTGTAATCCAACTTATCAGTTACTGTATGAACAACTTGATTCTTTTCTTAATTCTAACTGATCTTACGATAACGAACTTATGAATCATATACCATGTAGGTTAAAAGTCCCTAAGCAGGGCCTTTTTTGTTGATCGCTTGGACTTGGATTGTCAGAAGTGTTTAATATTAAAAAAAAAAAAAGGCCCAACTAGGGACTTTTAACTCATCCTGCATAATAAACATCATTCAATGACTAACAAAAATGGTCCTGTTTAGGGACTTTTAACCCATTCGGTATCGGCTCGATCTGGCTTGTATATTTAACTATTATAAAAGTCTGCTAACCTATTTCATGATATATTTTAATTTTATACGTAATGTTTTCTTTGTTAACGACAAGTATAAACATGTAATAATACAATATTGCACGTTTAAGACATGAAACTATTCATTGATCACGCGTTCGTGGTCACATTATCATGCGGTGGTATAACAAGTTAAAAGAATTTTATATGTGCATGTATACTGTAGACCAAGAATAATTATGTAAGAAAATAGGATCAATGCTTTTTCTTATTTGAATAAAATATCTAAAAATAAATCGATTAACTGTTACGCGATTTGTTGAGAATGTGTATGCATGGAATGAATACCACATTAGATCTAGCTAGATTTGAATATTAATTATGATAACTGGGAATTATCAATTTTTACAAGGTGCAAGGTGAGAAATTTTTACATATATATATTTTTATTATGAATTCTATATATAAACTGTATATTCATGACATCCTAGGTGTCAACTAAGGCTATCAATGACAACTTATCATTAGTAACGATGAATTACCAAATCACATTAAAACGATAAGGTTTAGGTTAAGATTTACTGAAATTCAAACTTCGGATTATTTTTTCCGGTAATACAAATTCTTAAAAAAGAAATACCAATCAGTTTTTTAGAAAAGCTCAAATGCAGAAGGCGAAAATAATGATCTTGAGATACTTGGCTGAAATAAAATCTTATATAGTAAACGATAATTTGTTCCTAGTTCCTTGTCACCCTAAATTTCTATCTATACGTACATACATACGTAATTATGCCTATTAATTATTTTATATTAGTTTCCTTTTTGGTGTTTGTACTACTAGCACAAATAGTTCCAGCGTTGCCAATAATCGAGGAGCATTCACTTAAAGTATTACTACGTAACGTATTACGTATTACAGTATCATTAATCAAAATTTATAACTGCGACCTCAATTATCGGTACAGGAGCGACCGTCGATGTTACACGACTGACTTTTCACCCGGTGTGCAACATATAAAAAAACTATTTTACAAT